AGACTCATTACCATTGATTCCTGTGTGACCAGACACCTAGCAAAGCATCATTTTGTTTTTCCTTGTCAGCTGCTGCAGAGTATCATAGATTTGAAGAAAACAAAGGCAATAGCTTTGTGTTAGCCATGGTACATAAGGAAAGATGATTGACAGCGTAAAGCCGTAGTTTAGGTATCCTTCGGGACGTAATGTACCATTTTCTGTTTTAATTATAATAACAAATATACTACACGTGTGCATCACGGGAATAAAGCAAAGACAAAATTATTAAATTATTAAATAAATAAAAACTTGAAATTTGAAGACCTTAAAATAGGAATCTTTGACCTGAAGTAAATTAAGCATAATTGCACTACTAGTAAACCGAAAATAGAAAACTAAATTCGATATTTTGCACGAGGCTTGTACTTTAGTTCTTTTCTTTCCAATAATTGGACATTTATTTGTTCAATAGCTTTTTAGGTATTAACGTACTTATGCCTGTCAAGGTAGTGGAACTACTAGTATTCAGGAGAATGACTGCTAAAAGGAATTATAACTTATTAGCTCGTACGTTCAGTGAGTCTGAAAAACTATCCATAAAAATATAAAAAAAAGCAAAATAAGTGCAGACTGTAAAAATAGTTAGGGTATGTCAATGTAAAATGCCAATGAAAGGCTGTAGAGCACAACTAACCAATAAATATGCGTAAAGGTAATAAGACTAAGACTATAAGAACCAAAACAAAAGACCAACAATTAAGATAATCAAAAAAGGTTGTAAAGAAAAATAATTGCACGAGGGCAAAATTTTTGCAGAGAACGTGTGCCAGAAACGCAGTCTGAAGCCCTAAAAATGCCACGTCAAGAGAAATGCAATACACTTGAGAGGTTCACGCGTATTCCCTCCCTCCCTACCTTGAATCATGTTTCCAATATTAACAGACACAGCCGTATGCATATATATTTTTCATTATACGGGTGTATACTGATTTTGTCTCAATGTTATTTATGCACTAATAAGGATTATTAAATTGTGATGTTAAATGCTGATGAAATGCACTTCCAGTATTTATAAGACAGACATGTGAATGATATTGAATATTCCGAAAAAATTAAGCGGAAATGAAAACGACTTTCAACGTCTGTTAGTCAGACTTTAAATCCGTAATTGATTTTCTATTCTCCAACAAATGTTGAGCTTATGAACAATAGCTCACTACCTCAATACATCTAAATGTCGTATTCAATGAAAAGTTATCTTAATCATTTGTATCTAATTAAAGTATCTGGAATTGCTTTGCCATTGTTTAAATGTCGCTTACACACTCTTGCCGTCAAAACGTCGTCAAAACACAAGCAAACAAATTTATTTTTGTCATTTTGTCATTCTGTCATTCTGTCATTGAGGCAATATTTAATGTAAATTGAACGAGCATATTTTAAAGTTTAAAGAGGAAAAATTTCACAATCTCAGTTTAAACTCCAGAGACCTTCGCTGTTCGCTGAAGTTTGTTGCATTCATTCATTCATTCATTCAATAAATTCGTTTAAATTCGTTTAAATTCGTTTAAATTTCAAAGATATTTACTTTGCAAATTTAAGCTTTAAGAGTTTTGCATTTTTAGTGTCGCCATTCAGTTTCTTAATAATTTTACGGAGATCTTTATTTGTCAAAGCCCGTGTCAAAACAAGCCTCAGTTAAGAATTTCATTATTTTATTATGACATTACTTTTTTAATGGGTTTTTATGAATATCTTGAAATACCATATCTCAAAGATTTTTCCTTTTCAGAAATTGTTGAACTCTTTTGTTACTGTTACTGCTCGCTTTCATAATATTTTTAGATTGTCGAATTAATTACCAAATGGAACAATTTTGTCTGAATTATTGCATTTAATTGACAATTAAAAGGCGTTCAATGTTGCTTTTATGTCTCATAAAAAATATGTTTTAATTGCCGTTTCTCACTTGAAGACAATTTTAAATTGATTTAATGTGCAATATACTTGATTTATCACCTTGAAACTGGAATACATATAATTTCAAATTTGATTGACTTTGAGACAATAGCATATTGAAGCAAACTTATTAAGTTCAATTTATATGCAATCTAAGCAATTAAAAAGTGCCAGCAATGAAGAAGTCAAAGGACAGCTGTTCAATGCATTTTTTCAAATGAAATCTTGAAAAGAATCGAAAACTTGACATTCATTATATATTCTATATAGAAATTATACGGAATTATTAAATAAAACTCAAAGAAATCATCAACCAATCAAAATGTAGTTAGTAGGTCCCATCGAGAATATTCTAATATAAATATATATATAATTTCAGTGTCTCATCCTTATACGCTGTATTTTATATAGCTTTAATTTCCTTCAGCGCAATTTCTTTAATAACCACAATCGACTGGAAGCGTCATCTTTGAATTAGTAGAAAGTTGACATAGCTTCGGAAACTGAAAAAAGCGACACCGGGCCATCTTAGATGAGTACTAAAAAGAAATCCAAAATTCTTATTGAGATGAGATATCAGTCTTTTGGTAGGTTTACTTACAGGTCACTAGTAAACTAGGGAGCGATGCTAGAAGATTAAATCTCCCCTTCAATTAAACCTATCGCAGCTGTGGAAAAGACGATGAGAGTGCCTCTCATCTACTATGTTTTTGCTCAGCTCAAGCATGGCGACGATTTAACACTTTAGAAGCCCCCGTTTCTTGAGGATCTTGATCAATTACAAGACCTGACAGTTTTTTAGGCTTCGCCAAAAGTTCTATGTGGTTTTAAACATTGAGTTATTCCTATATATACGGTAATATAAAGGACCAATAAGCCTAAGTGGATCCCCTAGGGTTCACCGTCATAGCCTAACCTACATCAATACGTTGTTTGTACGATTCCATTCGTTAATGTCTTTTCAAAAACTTACTAAAAGCGATATTTTTTTACGAGCGTTTGCAAAATTAAATTTTTGATGGTTTTTCGCAGTGTATTGAATCGGAAATTTTTGATCCAGTTGAGTAAATAAACATCTACTGTACTATGCATTATTCTAATGGAATATATCTAAACCTTTCGAATTGCTTTTTCTGGTGTTATTTAGATTTTTAAATTATGAAATAGCCGAATGGTATTGGTTCCTTAACAAACAGTTTGACGTGTTTATGGAGAACTTGATTTAGAAAATACTTCAGTATTTCCAGCCAATTATGTGGTTACGATTGTCAATGATCTCTTATGTTTCGCATACTTATTTTGAGAAACACCACTGCATTTAAAAATTCTCAAATATATTAGTCAAATACAGAGTTTGTAGACTAAACTGATATCAGTAAAAAGTATAATGACTTGAATAATATATAGTTCAAAAAGAAAACTATATATTTTAAGACTTCTGAGTCTTAAAATTAAGGTGCACAGTACAGTACAATAGTTTCCGGTTTCAAAGCAATCGAATTCAAATAAACGTTGCTTTAAATTTATTGATTGGTACCAGTTTCCTATATTCTCTCTCTCAGTGGCTGGCCATTCATTAGGTCTCTCTTGTTCAGGAATATTTTATTCGGTATAGGAATCCGTTTCTTCATATTCTATAAGTTAATTCACTTCTTTTTGATATTTTTTTTTGTCTGGTTTTTGACTGAGTCTTCTCTATTTGCATTCTTCAAACAAGGTCACTATAATTCTGAACCTCAACTCCTATAATTCAATAAATGTTTCTCTTAATACATCATTTGTTATTTAAGGCTTAGACAAGTGTTATTTCTATAGACATTACTCGTTTGTTGCATTTCATTTAAGAAATGGTATTCATTTCTTCTCTATTCATTCCTTGAAAGTTGGTTTAACATAGAGTTCAAATCTTACACATTGGGCTAGACACACAATGTAAAACAAAAAAATAAAAATAAAAAATTATATTGTATAGTAGTATAATTTGATGAAACCTTTTATGTATCTGTTATGTTATCCCGAAAGAAAACAGTATAGGCCTTTGCGTCGGAGTAGGTTATTCTTATTCTATGTTTAAAATCTGTGATTAATAGGGGCTATTAGTCGATTCGATGCTGATGTTGATGCCACAATCACAAAATTCGTTATTTAGTATTATAATTTTATAATTATAATCTTGGAGTTTCTGTACGAATAAAAATTATAAAAAAGAGAAGTCGTTGAAAGGCAAAGGGATAAAGATCCTAATTCGTAATTAAATGGGCAATCGAAATCTGGTTGCTTTAATAGAATGTTGATTTTGAATACATTGCCTATACAGTTCTTTATAATATAGTTCGTTTAGTTCATGTTAAGTTCTTGCCCAATTTCTGATTGAAAAAATATTTTAATGAAAATTTTATTTAGTTTATTATTTCGTCCTATAGCAACTTATCTAGTGAATGTGATCTCTCATTTTCTTCAGACAATAAACAAACAAAGTGCATACTTCATTGTCTATAAAAAAACCACTTTTTACTGCTACCGGCATAATAATGAAGGGGACCTTTAAGGGAGCAACTGTAACTACTTGTATGAATATTTTAAGGGAACATTAATTTGATTTCCAACAAACTTCGACAGAATACTTTACTATTTAGAAATTTATACGCCGACTCCTTGTTAACTCTACCGCGCTTTGTAAATTAAATACATTTGCCTTTTGACAGTTTTTTGTCAAGCATAATTTAACATGAAGGGGGGTAATTCGATTTTCAAATTTGACAATAAAATTACAGTTAATAGGTTTATTTGGGTATTGAAAACTAAATGGAAAGGAAATATTTTGGTTAAACTTGTGCCACTGCCAGGCAGTTTTGCGTGTAAGAACTACGGCAAAGTCAGGGTTAGGCTTACTACGACGGGGCACTGCTGCTACCATAGTGCACAAAACTTCTGGGGCTAAAATTAAAAAAGGAGTAACGTTGCATTGCATTTAGTACTTTAAGCGATTTCATTGTACATTTCATAGTAAACAATAATGTAATAAAAAAATAAAAATAAATATTTTTTATCGTTTTCAGAAAGCAGCGCCCAACAATTTCAAATGAGCGCGTCTCCGGTAACTTTTGAAAAAGTTTCTTAAGTTTAACGTTCAACCGAAAAATAAGAAAAACTATATACCCACCAGCGTAGGGTTAAACCTGTCAAAATTCCAAGCAAACAGTGCATTTACCACAAATACAAGGAAAATGTTGGATCGATGCGAAATGCCAGTAAGTAATGCAAATACATTTTCGTTTTAGTTTTAATTTAATTAAAAATAAATTTTGCGATGAAAGTGGATAATTCTTACATAAAATAAACTCTGACAGTCAATGCTACATATTTTTAAAAGTACACATTAATAAACATTTTATAGATGATACTTATGTAAGAATAATATTCTATTTGGTAACGATTTAACATATTCAATTATTCACAAATATAATGTAGAGTGAAAAGTTTATATTAGGTTTGTTGCCATACACTTCAAGTCGACCGATGAAAAAAACTTAAAAATAGTTTTGAAATAACAGTTAATAATTATAAGTTTTGTATTTATTGTAAAGTATTGGTCATAATACCTAGAAAAAAACATTTTCACTGTAAATCATTTGCTTCATATTCAAACATTTTGCAGACGTCTCTTATCAATATCTATTAAAACAAACAAATATAGAAAAATATTAACAATATAATAATAATAATATTTTTATTCATCAACAAGTAATTTATTTTTAATCTTTGCAAATTTTTCGAGAGTCTTTTTTTAAAATATCTATATTTTTTTTTACAGGTACAGCTCGATAAAGACAAATACCGTCGCGATCGCGATAGTCGCATAAATAACCAACGACTGGATTTGCCGAATTTGTGCAATGGCGGTGCCGTACGTGGTTCTCCACGTGTTGCCCGTTATATGGATGCGCATAATAATCACACAAATCATCACCAGCGTAGTCCCACAACTACAAATGGCATATCCCATAACAGCAGCAACAACAATAATAATATAAGCTCCCCAGTATCATCGAATACTGTTTCTTCACATGGAAATAGCTCAAGCGGTGAACGCGGCTCCTCAACTAAGTCAATCAGTAGCAGTGGCAGCGGTAATTCTGGTGATAGCGAACTAAAATGCGCCACACCAATGACACCTACAGGTAAGCATTAGTATTAGCACCTATTATAAAAATATTTACATAGATAGGTAGAGTAGTGTCGGCTGGCTGAAATTACGCATAGACCTGATGTTTCATAACGATGCCAGAGTCCTAAAAACAGTATACATAATCACAGTAATGACAATATCTATTGCTCAAGATGTGTGTGTCATTATTGTGAATTATCTGAAATGGTTCACTCTATGACATAAGAAACACATTTTACTCCATTAAAATAATAGCTGTTAAGAATTTTGTTCTGATTTTCCTTTTAAGCAGACAATAGCAGTGGATATGCTCTTTGGTTATATTGATGCCCATATCCTTAGATTTTTGCTAAAAAGCAATCGATACTACTAGTGATATTACGGTTACGCCTATGTATCCTGCAGTTCTTTCGATTGAACCACAACACAGATTTGTTGTTTCATTTTTCGAATATGTAGTTTCACATGATCTCAGCGACTTTACAGGTACTTCAGCTACTTCACTTGTCTTCGCCTTATTTCTAAGTACCTCACTTATTTGGCATCTGCAAATTAAACGCGTCATTTTCTTCTTCATGGCCAGGAACCCAAAATACATACAACCCACGTCTGTAGATAAATATTTTTGAAATATATTATATTTCAATTGTATCTACCTAGTATAAAGATATAGCGTATATATCTTTATATATATGTAAGCTTTATATATGTAATTAATTTGTTATATAAATTTTTATGTAATACAACAAATTTAAATTGAAGTAAAATAATAATACAGAATTGCATTATGTAGTATATACTTTAAAATTTTCTACGTATATAATTATAAATATGTATATACTATATTATATTATATCTCAATTAGTTGTGCCACTTTAGAGTCTCGTAAAATTTTATAGCATACTTGTCGGCATTGAAATATTTCTCTAATTAGTTTTTATATCTTGTATCTTTTGTGCCACTGCACGAAAGCAAACAATCTTTTTAATTATTTATGAAAAAAATTGCCTCTTTTCTGCTATAATTTTTACGCTCTAAAATGTTCAGTGCAACGCTAATTAATTTTAAATAATTTTGTTGTGCAAAAAGGTTCAAGGATTTGTTTAAAATTGTTTACGGTGTATGCTTAACGCGATGCCTTTATATTCATTAAAAAGTAATAATAAATAAAAAGTGGAAATTTTTTAACAATAATTTGTGGTATGAAATGTCAAATGTCACAAAAACCAAATCACATTAAGAGAAGTGACTTTTTGATGCACCAAGCAGTTTCGAAATAGAAATGTCAAATGTATTGAAATACAAACCTAAAATCTCTTTTTAGTAGAAATACCGAAAAAAATCATTAAACCTATGGTTATCCTGAACGTAGGACTGCAATATTCAGTATTAAAAGGTCAAATTTCTATTGTAGTATACACTTACGTTCATCTCCTCCACAATTTTCAAGTTTGCGAGTATCTTCTTTTCTGAATTTCATAGGTCAATGTGGGATGTATTGTTATAATTGATATTGATATTAGGATATGCATTTAAATCCTAATTAATTTTGTTTTGAACTTTAAAATAATTAAAGCAGTAAAATTCAAATTTTTTATTTATGTAATGCCCTAGGCCAATATGGAATATTCTAAGTACAAATTGTTTTCCCTCTTAGGATCATAATATTTGAATATTTGCAATATAAACTCAATCTTAATAAATTGAGAAAAACAATAACTTTTTATAAATATCCTAAACGCATTGACTTCAACCACCTGCTATTGGCAGTCCAATTAAAAAGTTTCAATTGGAGTAGCAATTATGTTCGGTGAAGTAAAATATTCGTTTCAAACTTTATATGAAAACTAGAAACTAGTAACATTGCACAGTTAAGAGAGGTTTCTCCGTTTATGACAGAATTCGTTTAACATAGGTTTCAGTGTATACGTTGTTAAACTTGTTGGCTTCCACATATTTTTTAACTTAAGTGTTGAGATGTTGGCATACGGTATATATTTTGCACCATTGCATTCCAAATTTTCCAGTGTCTTAATCTTCTCCATTTATAAAACAGACGTCCAACTGATTGTTTTTCATAACTATCGTAATATCTTAGGACACTTACATAACATCGTGACTCTCTATTTCATAGTCATGTTGTTGTAACTAGATATCTTGCACTTGTTTAACTCCAAGGAATATGTGCAGCACCTTCGTTAAAAATATATACTTAACGAACTTGTAGAGAAACATTTGCATATATTCTTTGCACCCAAGAAAGGTGCTTTACATTTAGTAAGTAAAAATATACATAACAGATGATTCTGTAATAAGAATAGCTTTGACACAAAAATAGACAACTTCAAAGTTTAACTTTCAATTCGTTGAACTTGTATTTCAAAATAAAGCTGTAGCTTATTCGTTCGTTCTAATTGCAAAGCACGGCAATGCTTTGGTGGTTAGTGTCACTTAAAAAGTAAAAAAGTGACAAAAAACCTGGAACTACTTGATCATTGAAAGGTTGTGCAGCCTTGGCTACTTGTGGAAAAACATGATTAGTCATCGCTTCTAATTTGACAAGCACAAGTTCTAAGTCTGACACTTGCAGTCCAAAAAAATTATATATGGACTATAAACTGATTGAAAAGAAATTCGAATATTTCTTAAGACCACTGATGATGAGTACGTGGCAGTACTCGAAACAGCGTTGTATGATCAGCCAAAATTCAATAAATTAACTAAATTTTTGTTCTTGTCTTTGTTTTGCTATTCGAATCTTTCTAACTTTCGTTTAATTTTTATTTCAAGGTTTTTTAAGTCGATATTGAGGAGTAAACATGACAGTGTACCAGCTTACCGCAGTCCTGTACATGAACCTAATTTAGATAACAGATTATTTTGAATTTTTATAGAGTCAAATACGAATAGTTCTGGAATTAAGATGGAAATTGAACTATAAATAGATCTTAATACTTAATCTTAATACTCTTAGATTAGTATTAGATCTCAGACCTTAATACTTGGTCTGACTATTATACAAATAGTTCTGGAATTAAGATCAAAGTAGAACCATAAATAGATCTTAATACTTTTTTGAAAAAACGTGCATCAATTTCAAAAATATTTAGAACATATATATGATATGATGTCAATTGTTGTTTAGTCTGATGAAGTGATAAACAATAATCTAGTCAAGGCGCAAAGAGGGGTTTTGAAGAAACTTTGCAGTTAATAGAGAGTAAAAGTGCTCAGGTGCACTGACTCAACTAGCCTCTACATAATAATAAGATTGTTTTTACTAGAATAATTTTTAATGTCTAAAAATTGTATAAAGAGATAATCAAATCAATAGATAATTTCAGAAACAAATGATGACATGGGTATATATTTGGTGGTATTCGACATAGCTTGTTTGATCAGCTCAAGAGTTTATTTAATTAAAAATAAAATTTTCTTTTATATACTCGTATGAAGATAGATTTCTTAACCTAAGATATGAAAATTATAATAAATAAATTTTGTTATATCAATTTTTGCTTTTCCATATTTAGAACTTATCAAGAAGTACCGCACTTATTTAACTGACTTGGAATTTGAAGAGCTGAAAGTTTACAAGGAAATTTGGTATTTTGGTCAAAATGCCAGTAAAAATTTCAATTCAACAAGTTCAACCAACAACTCTGGTTATGATGATGAAAATGGCAATTATAAAATTGTAAGTAAGAATTTTTATTCATAGCACTATTGATAACAATGTTCTCTTACAGATTGTACATGATCATATTGCATTTCGTTATGAGATTTTGGAAGTGATTGGCAAGGGAAGTTTTGGTCAAGTCATACGTGCTTTGGATCATAAAACCAATATGCATGTTGCTATAAAAATTATACGCAACAAGAAGCGTTTTCTAAATCAGGCTGTTGTCGAGCTCAATATACTGGACGATTTACGTGAAAAGGATGCTGATGGATCTCATAATGTTATACATATGCTGGATTATACATGCTTTAGAAAGCATTTATGCATTACTTTTGAACTGATGAGGTATGTTTTATATTATAAAAAGAAAAAAATAACTATCGTAGTATATCAGAAATGACTATATCACACTTGAAATTCAAGGAAACGTGCCTTTTTCTTTATTCAATGCTATAGGGTATTTTAATAGAACCGATTTCTGCAATTTTTTTAGTGCTGCAAAAATGAAATTTACCCATATGGTGATTCATCCATTAATAATAATAACAGATTTATTTTTTCAGTATAAGTATAACTCTTTATCGTGTGTATCATCGCGAATCACACTGAAGCAAATTCGAGTGTTAATCATAATCCATCTAACATACATCATAATTTGCTGTTATCATCCTAAATTTATTTTAAAATTATTAAGCATCACTCCATTTGCTTATTGCATATAAATATTTATATTTTTGTTATCATTTTAAAATTTAATGATACTGAAACATGCATAAATTCTTTAAAATCCATAAAAATTTATGAATCGTAATTTATATAAAAGTTCGTAAAGATACTAAAATATCTGGTTGACTTGCACTTGCTTTGTACATAAAAGTGATGACTAAATCATGTTTATTGGCCTGTAAAAAAATAACAACAAAATTCGATTAGTGGATAAGGACATTCAGTTTAAAATTATGTGCCTTTTTAGTGAACTATAATTAATGTTGAATTAAGTAGAATATTTAAAAACTTTTTAAAGTCTTTAAATTTCTTTATATAAACATAAAAATATATTTTATTCTCATCACAGATTGTCATTCCTCTTATATTAACTCATAATTAATTCCTCTTATTAACTAATATTATAGTAATATTATATTTATATATATATAATTAAATTACAACTTTAATCACAATACGTGTTTTTACCCACTTATAATCTCGCATAGTATTATACGTACTTATCAAAACATAATATTAATCATCAGAGAGGGAGAGAAAGCGAGAGACTAAGAGAGAGAGAGAGATTAAGAGATTGAGAGAGAGTGAGAGATTGAGAGAGAGCGAGAGATTGAGAGAGAGCGAGAGATTGAGAGAGGGCGAGAGATTAAGAGAGAGAGTGAGAGAACCAAAAATATTCTCGATAAATTGTCATGACCAATAAGTTAAAGTTTAAAACTACAGTCAAACTTTTATAACTCGAAGTCCCGTTTTGCAAAGAAAAAGTTCGACTTATGGAGACTTCGAGTTAGAGAATTTTTTTATTTTTTGTTTATTTTTGAAAGAAACTAGAATTACATTTTAAGATTTATTTATTAGTAATTAAATAAAGCATAGAAGTTATAGTTAAGTAAAATATTCAGAAATTAGGGTTTGGGACTTTTTTTTTTCAGTAAAGAAAGATTGCAATTTATTCCAAGCCTTATAGTGTTCATCAGTTGGAGGAAGTATCATTCGTTTGTAAATAAAAATTTAGAATTTTAAATGAGTCTTCTACTTCATTCTTGGAAGGATAATGAACAATTTCATCCACCGAACCCTCATCATTACTTTCCGTTCCGCTTAGAATCGGATCTACTAATACAGAGCTATAATGCTCAATATTATCGTCATCTGTAAGAAAGCTTGATCTACAAATTTCATTGTCAAGCTTAATATAATCGTTAAGAGTAGCATCGGAAGTTATTTTACTTTCTTTAAACCATGCTGCCAGTGACTGGCATTTGCACAAAGAAGCAACTTAAGGAAGAAAAAATTAAACATTTGATTTGGAAAAAAGGACTTCCCCTAACAACAAAATGCATTTATACTTAAAACAAAAATTCGACTTATGGAATGCACTTTCCCATATTTCTATCGGCACGGAACAAAATTTTTGTTCGAGTTATAGAAAAATTCGGGTTATAGAAGTTCGAGTTATGGAAGCAGAATTGTGTGTAATTTGTTCTCTAAAACCTTTGTGCACTGTATTTGGTTCAAGTTATAGAAAATCCGATTTATAGAAGTTCGAGTTATGGAAGTTTGACTGTATTAGCAAATCATCTTCTATAGCTTCTTGAAAGAATTTCAACTCATTAATGTTTTCTGTATTAATAGTTCTTAATAAGAACTTATACACATTAAATACGATGTAAACGTATTTAACCTATAATTTATCAACTAGATTAGATGTCCTGCTTAATTATGAAAACTGTCTAATATTATTTCAAGTAACTTGTTATTGTTACCCAACCAACTTATATCTTCTTGTCAAAATTTAAATCTGCAACATAATACGTGTTTTGTTTTGTATGAACCGTAGGGTGTAAGTATGTTCATAAATTGGATTGACTGACGTTATTCTCATAATGTACTGTCATAAGATATATATTTCAAAATAAAGCTCTCATCTTTAGAGTTTTAATCCTGTGTTGCGGTTTTTATATTCAAATTGGTTGAGTTTACCAGTATTTAGTTGTTGTTATTATTGTTGTAGTGCTCCAGGATCTGAAAAGCAGATGACATGCAAGGAGTGCAAGACTAATACATGGGTTGGAATTTGGATGAGTGGTGTTTGGGGTAAGGGTAGAGGGAAAAGGGGGAGAGATGAGAGAGATGGGAAACAGTATTAAATTATATTTAAGGATGAGCAGCTTCTAAATAGAAATCATACGACCTTTCAAAGAATATAATTAATTACAATATTTCACTTTTTTGTTTTATTTATTTTACTTTAAGAATTATACAATAAAAGTTTCAATACCAATTAAGTTAAACAATACAATACTACTCCAGTTACCAGTTGCTCTATTAAAACCCGGTAAGCATTTCGCTTTGGTACGTCAATTTTGTGCATGACTCCAGAATTGCTTGATTGATGATTTGTTATTTATTTTTAGTATGAAGTTAAATCGAAACATTTGAATACGCATTGAAACACGCAATTCTGTAAAAGTATTTACATATTTTCATACGCAGATTAAATAAAATATATATGCATAATAAATAGTTTTCTATGTATATTCATTAAGAAATAATTTTTTATACAAATATATTATTTTTGTTATTTTTTCTTGACATTGCTGAATTAATAAAGTAGGAGTATGTTTTTATGATTTTCCTTAACAAATTAGAAGCAATTTAATATTTCTGTTTTTATTGTGTGTTTAATATGAACGAATTATCCTTGAAGAAAGTATTATAACGCATAGTTATTAGCGGAAGAAAACGCGGTACAACCAGTATTTCAAATGGAGTTTGTACTCAGGGAAGAGTGCTGCTATCCCCTTCTGACATTAGGAGGTCCCCAACGGACGACATTCTGGCCTTCATTCGGAAAGCAGTATGTCTTCTATTCGGTTAGGGTCAGTTGCAGCACAAAAGATTAATCTGGTCGCAATGCTCTGCTCCGTTAGGAGCTAGTACCCAATTTACTCTTATGTCTTGTACTCATTTTTAATTGTCCGGCACTTGATCAGTTCAAGACATAAGTGTTTGATAATAATTTAATACTAAAAAGTTATAGCATCGTTTCGTTTTCGTAAAAAAATGGATTATTTTATATACTTGGAATTCAGCTTTCGGGTTTTACTAGTGAGATACTCATATCAGACTGTGTATACAGTTTGCGAAGCGCTATCGACTCGACAATAGTATAGTATTTTCTTTTTTTAATATTTTGAAATAGAAAAAATTTCAAATATTTTCTTTTACCTTTTTACATTATAAATTAATATAGTGTTATTGATGTTACTGATGTTATTGAGATCTGAAGATTTGGTCGCTTAAATTAACCAAGAGTGACTTAAAGACATAAGTTCGATCACTTTTAAAGCTATTATTTGTTGTTATTGTTGTTGTTGCAGTCTGTTAGGTCTTGTTTGTAAAGTCCCCTTGGAGGTGTTGGCGACGAGTGGCTCCGGGACGTGGACCCGACCGTTCTTGGAACCACTCACTATTTGTAATTAGATATAATTAAAATTTTATGCTACTAAAATTCGTCACAAGCTTTGAACAATAAAAAATATTGTTTTAAATTTATTTTTTTTCCTTAATCTTTGGATGTATTCACCAATTTAAGTAGTAAATAAATTTCTAATGTAGGATATCGATAAAATAGTATCATGGAAATATAGTATGAAAAAGTATTTATCTATTTCTATATGTAGTAGAATAATAGAACAGCACAAGATGTCATGAGTAAACTAAATGTGTAGATTTTTTTAAGTATTTTTGGTGTCCTTATAAGCACGACACTTCTGTTTAAGAAATTTTCCATTTTTAAATTAAAATAATTAAGTTTTATTTCTGAAGTTAATCAAAAGTTTATACTTGATGAAGTTACTGTGATAAAAATTTATTTTTAATCACTAATTTAATTTAGTGTCACCAATTAAATAAAAAAGCGACAAAAACCTGGAACTTAAGCATTGAAAGTTTGTGCAGCCTTGACTACTTGTGGAAAAACATGATTATTCACGTTTCTAGTTTGACAGGGACGAGATCTAAGCCTGACACTTGCAGTCCAAACAAATTTTATACGGACTATAAACTAATTAAATAAAAATTCGATTATTTCCTAAGACCACTGATGATGAGTACTTGGCAATACTCGAAACAGCGTTGTATGGTAAATTTTAATAAATAAAATAATTTTTGATTTTGTATTTTCTTTGCTATTCGAATCTGTCTGACTTTTAAATAGTTTTTTTTCGTCATAAAGACGCGTCACTCTCGGGAAGAAATATTTAACATTAAAATTATTTTTATTCTGTTATAAAATAAACAAAACTTATATTATAACTATATTTGCAGCTTTAATCTCATTATAGATCTAGGGAAGTATTATTACTTCTTCAGTTATATACTTAAATATTATATATATACCTTTGAGATGTCAAATATTATTTCCGCAAAGTTTTCTACCAGAGTGTATCGTAGGAAATAGCTAAATTGATATAGAAAAAAGAATAACCGATTTAAAAAAGTAGTTTAAAAAAAGTAGTAAAAAGTAGTTAAAAAAAGGATTAAAAGGTAATTGAAATATTTCTTCTACGATATTATGATGTTGAAAAATGAGAAATTTGGTAAATTCATGTTAT